ATCGACCTCGACTATTGAGTGTTCTTTCAAGACGATCATCAAATACTATAGTACTTTCATTGGTAGGCGTTGTTGAAGAATCGACACTGGCTAAAAAATAAAGTTTTCTAGGATTAATTTCAATGGAGGAATACATTGCTTGATGCTGTAGTAGTGAGTGGTTTGATCGATACTGCTCTCATTTTTTGTTGCTCTGTAATGAAACAGTTGTCTTCAAGGCTTCAGAGTTGGGTATAAGTGTGGATGTGGTTGTACGTATGTGGAAGCGGACATGGATCTAATTTTCTGCGACACCGACCCTCACATCTTAAAGGTTAGGGAAATACTTGTTTTTTTTATTGTATTTATGTTCCAATTAGATAATTAACAGCCAGTCAGTTTTCAAAAAATTTAGCTCAAACTTTCCGGAAAGGTCGGTCGTATATTCTTCTACTCAGTGATAATACTAGGCGAGTAGAACCAGCTTCATCTATGGATCGGTAGATTTCTAAAAACTTTTTATAGAATTAATATGGCTTTTAGAAAAAAAATCGATATTTTAACATTTATATCATATCCAAAAACAGTTTTTGAATCTCCTTAAAAAGTTTGAATTTAATCGTTTGAGAACATATTGAAACATTAATAATTTTATCGAAAGGCCAAGACAATGGCAAACATACTTTTTTTGCTGATCTTTGTGCACTTTTCTCATCGCTGTTCAAGGAATTAAAGAAATATTCCTATCGTGTTTAGCATGATGAAAACGCTGTAACGTTATATGAAACCGAGATGACCCAAGTAAAAAAGCATGCTTTGAGAGACTCCCAACACGTTAATTTTAGCATCTTAGTGGAAGAATGAGGATATCTGCAGTTTATGTAGCTACATAGAGAAGACAGATGACTGCTAGATGACTTGATTTAGATCGAATATCAACTATAGCTTCTGCCATTAGCCAGTTAGTTTCTAGAAATACCTCTCTCTCGAAAAACGAATTGAAACTCATTGAGAAGTTTCGGCTCCTATCTATGGTTACATGTCATAGTCTTGGTTATAAGGGAGTGAGAATCGATCGCTCAATCTCTTTTTATTTTCAATATAATAGGCTTAACTTTTATCTACCTTTTATTTTGAATGAAGTAGCAATTCTCAATAGGATGTAAAGTCACTACTTGATATCTGATATGACTCTCGAATAATATGTGTAAAATATTCAACAAGAAGGTTTTTCGACAGTTCGTATTTCCAGTCACAAGTTTTCTCTCTTGTGCTATACATGGCTTTCATGCCGACACGTGTTTCCTTCATCTATGATCAAAACTATAATATTTCTTAGATCAATGATTTTTTCAGAGCTAATACGAGTTTTGTAGCTGAAATATTGAATGTTGTATGTAGAGACTTGACTCAATCAAATGTAGGAGGGTCCCTTAATAACATAAATATTTGCGAGAAT